ACACACACACACACACACACACATATATATATATATATGAGTTTTTCATAAAATTAACTTATTTCATTTAGAAAGATACCTTTTTCCCATCCTATTTTTCCTGTTGCCAAGATATTCTTTCAGTTTTAAAATACTTGTAACATTGGCTTTTATTCTCTAAAAAGCTCTTTCATAGCAAAATGAAAAGTTGACAACATTGTTTCTCTCACCCAGATTTCAGAACAGGATACCACCTATTAGGAAAATAAAAAAATCTAAGACCCACTATTCTATAAGATGTGAAATCACACTGTTAAAACTTTCTTACTTTGGAACCAGTGTGAGGGATGGTTAGGTAGTTAACTAGAGCAGAAAAATTTGTAGTCCTATACACCTTTGTAAATTCCTAGCTCTCAGAATTAATTTAGAGAATTGAGATTTTTTTAAAAATTGGAACCAGCCGTCACCTAATTCCACACTTGAGGAGACCCAGATTTTCAGAGTACTTACAGTTGAGAAGAGCCTGCACATGTTTCTTTTTATTCTGAATGGTAGTCTCAGAGTTGAGCCAAAAACAAATTTGGTAAAGAGCTGTCAAATGAGTTTGAGGTTTTGCTCTGCAGTATTTAGTCAATTTTGAGTATTGTGCATTTGCCCTTTTATTTTGAAAGAACAACAGTTTAATCTCAGGAAAGAATCTCAGCCTTTTTTCTGAATTTTTTACTCTAGGTTCCATTCAATAAGAATGTTTTATTACCCGTATTTGAATATGTACCAGGGACAAACTAAAATTTTAACTAACTTCTTAATATAGGTATCAAGAAAATAATTATCAGAATTTAATGCATATCAATTTTTAATTAGATTATTAACTTCTGCTCAATAAATAGTCCTTTGAATACCCTTTGGAGAATGGAATGTCTTAATTAAAATTTGTGGTTGCTATGACAATAGATATGTATGTCAATAATATAAATTCTTTTGAATTATAATTACATATACAAAATACAAATGTAACATCACGTTCTAGCCTGATAATAATGGCTTTATTTTTTGATGCTTTTATTTCTTCAGTTACCAGATTTTTGCCAAATCTTTACATTAAATGTGTTATTTTGAGTTAGGATAATAGGCAATGTATAGAATTTAAGAAATCTATTCCTAAATTAAATATATCATTACATTTTTATAACTCCACTGCATACATTATGCAAGTAATTGAACTGATAGAGTTCCTGCTGTCTAGAAATCTCAAGAGAAATGCTTTCTATGAACAAATAAATACTATGTGATAAAAAACTGATCCCTAACTAAATCCTGAGTATTAACACCAACATATTTGGTTTATGTATCATTAAGTTATAATGGTGTAACAGGGCAATCAAGTAAAGATTGATGATGCTTTTTTCTATTTTGTAGTTATTAAAATTTTAGAAACTATTTGGATAATTAAAAACTTAATAGGAGTATCTTTATATACACACTATTTTGGCACTTGTATTTAGGAAAGCATCTCAAAAGAGTGTTGTGATAAATCCTTTCTGAATCATAATTGCACTAAAGTAGTACTACTAATTTAAAAAACATATATCTAAAGAAATATTGTGCAGTACAAAGAGTGCTGAAAAAATGGAATCTGGGAATGTAGGTCTAGTCTCCCTGTGATATTGACCAGCAGTGTGATTTAGGACATTTTGGTTATCTTCTCTTGCTCTCACTTTGAAAACTTTTACCAAATAAGGTGATTGATTAGATGATTTCTATGACATATGATTCCAAAAGGTTAATGCAAGTTGGAAAAACAAAATGATTAATTAAAAATACCTCAATAAATTTTTTCTTTAGAAGTGCCCATTCACATAAGTGAGATACATGTTTATACATCTAGATGAATGAGAACTTCGAAGATTTAATATTCTCCAGATATTTTATACTGGATTATTATTATACTTTTTGTGTTAGCATGTTAATAATTTGGTCCAATTTACCTATTTGTAATTTACATTTTCTACATAGTTTACTGTATTTATATGTGTCCTTATTTATACCTATTCTTATTTAATAAAAGCCACATGAAATGTTTTCAAATGAACATAGATATCTATTGCTGCATAAGAAATGATCACAGCTCTGGCCAGTTGCTCAATATATAGAGCATTGGCGTAGACGGAAGGGTCATAGGTTCAATTTCTGGTCAAGGGTACATACCTTAGTTGCAGGGTCCCCAGCCCCAGTAGGGGCATGTGCGGGAGGCAGCCAATCAATGTGTCTCTCTTACATTGATGTTTCTCTCTCTCTTTGTCTTCCCTCCCTTTTATCTCTCTCTCTTCCCTTCTACTCTCTCTAGAAATCAATGGAAAAAATATCCTCAGATGAGGATTTTAAAAAAAAAAAATGACCACAAAACTTAAAAGCTTAAAAACAATGGCTAACTAACATAGCAGTTTTGTAAAAAATTATTTGTTTACTCTAAAACATATGCTTTACTTGTTGAGGTAGTATTTTCTTCAATTTATTAAACATAATTTGAAATTTCTTATAGTAGAATTCTTTTAAAGTGGTGTACAAGACTTAATAGTGTTTTAAGATTATATTCAGTAGACAGTGGTCATCTCCATTGAGTAATAATTTAATCCATATTTTACATTTGAGTTTGTATAAAAGCAATGTTGAGATTATATCAGTTTTTATTGATTAGTGAATTAAGTAAATAAAAGGTCTGAAAAACTAAATCATATTTGTATTCTTACTGTTGATTTTTAAAAAATAAAAGATCCCATGAACTTTTAATAACTACAGTTGCTTTTGTGAGAATTCTTATACTTTAAAATTTAAATCAATTTAACTATATATTTAAGTCAGTTTTACCAGAGTTGAAACATATAGGAATAGCACTTAAAATACTTCCCAAATTGCAAATCATAGACTGTAGTTTTATAACCTTTAAATTGTATCCTTAAATTCAATGATCAGGTATTAGCATCTTTATCAGGAGTGCATTTAATTATTCAAATAATTTTAATGATAAGATATTTAAGTATAGTCTTAGTAACTAATTATTGATATTAAATTGTAAAAGTGTTTTTCTTACTGTCCCTTTTTTATTAGGTGAGTGTGGTCCAAGATTCAGTAAATATATCAGGGCATACTAATACAAATACTTTGAAGGTTCCTGAATGTCGACTAGCAGAAGATTTAGGTAATCTCTGGGAAAACACAAGATTTACAGATTGCAGTTTTTTTGTGAGAGGACACGAATTTAGAGCTCATAAATCTGTACTTGCAGGTACTTTCTACTTTTGGGTAATATAGTACATTTCTCTTATAAATGTGTGCATTAAATAATGATGCTTAATCTTGTTACAGCTCGATCCCCAGTTTTTAATGCAATGTTTGAACATGAAATGGAAGAAAGCAAAAAGGTAACCATAGTTTAAGGGTTAACAATAAATTTGTGCAAAAGTAGAATAGTGGACTGTATATTTTTAAAGTAACAGTGCATCTTCTCAATTGTTATACTATGATTTTAGAAAAGAATAGAAAGATGGGGAAAATGGGTTCTCTAGTAGAACAGTCGATGTAACCTAAAGTGGGTGAATATTCCAAATAACAGCTATTTGGGTGCCCATTTGGTAGAAAAATAAGTAGGTAATTCTTATACAGAAGGGTAGTTATCAAAGGACTGTTCTTGGCCATAGCTATTTGGGAGTTCTCTGATTAAGAAGTATATTTCTCGCCCAGCCGGGGTGGGTCACTGGTTGAGTATCAGCCCATGAACCAAGAGGTTCCTGGTTCTATTCCTGGTCAGGGCACATGCCTAGATTGTGGGCTAGACCCCCAGTAGGGGGTGGGCAGGAGGCAGCCAATCAGTCTCTCTCTCTCTCATCAATGTTTCTATTTCTGTATCTCTCTCCCTCTTTCTCTCTAAAAAGCAATAAAAACATATTATTTAAAAAAGAAGTATATTTCTCCTTTCTAGATTTTATGAGTAGATTTTGGAATTTGTTTTCTAGAGCAAAAATAATGCCTACATTTTAACCACTAAAATAAGTTGCTATTTATTAGATTTAACAAAAAATGGCATAAATTACATTATTATAAATTAGCTATAATCAAGATATTACCTATTTGGTGTTTCTCTGTCACCTGTCGTCTTGAAATGTCAGATTAAAGCTCAGAGGTTGATTCTTTGCTGGTTGCATCATTACATGTGATCGATTCTTAGTGCTCCAATTGGACGACTCCAGGGTTTATGTGGGTTCAGCTTTATTCTTTCTGCAGAACTAGAGGCTGCAACAAAATAGCTGCTTCCTTTCCTTTGATTGTTGGTCTGGGCAGGTACTATAATCAACTTTCTGATCACTTCCAAGTAAGCAGACATCAATGATGTGTCAAGTGCTATTGTCAGCAAAGGGTCAGAAAAGTTTACTGTTGTTTATTGTTTGATATTTAGCTAGATTAATCCCAGGAGAGAAACCAAATTTACAAAGATAAAGGGATAAAAAAGGAACTAGTCCTCTTTGGACTTGAGCATGTGTTAAGCAAAGAGGTGAGGTGCCATAGATAATAGTACATGCCATTTTGCAAAAGGGAGAGTTCTGAGATGGAATGGGTGCTCTGGAATTATCTCATATACCTGGCCATTCTTTTGCTTAAAGGTGGTTACAGGATCTTAGGCATTGTAGTACAGCTTAGGAATTCTGCAAAGAAAAAATTAATAGACATCTTTCTCTAAGATAGAGGTCAGAAACTGCATGCAGATGTATTTTGTTTGGCCTATAGATTTTTGTTTTACTCTTTTAAATTAAGAAATTTGATTTATATTTCTACATGGTAGTTTTTGGTGCATATACTTTCCTTTTAGACCTGCCTGTTTCACTTTGCTTGCATAGCTTACTGAAGATAAATTTTAAAATAGAGTTTAATCTATATTTGAGTTATACAGATTTGGGGCTTTTAAATTACTGTCAAAGTTTCTCCTTGGTTTGTTTGTGTGTCTGTGTTCTTTAAGTATAACTCTTTTGTGTTGTTTTCAATATCAGAATCGAGTGGAAATAAACGATGTAGACCCCGAGGTTTTTAAAGAAATGATGAGATTCATTTACACAGGGAAAGCACCAAACCTTGACAAAATGGCTGACAACTTGTTGGCAGCTGCAGACAAAGTAAGTAATTAGGTCTTAAAGAGCTGAAAAATGTCCTCAAGCCTTTGATATATCAAGAATGCTGTCATCAAATGAAAACCCCAAATACCTTGAAATACTGGATTAATTTATACTATTTGTAGATGGCTTTTGAAAGTATTAAAAAATAGCATACAGTGAGATTTTTTTAGTCAATAAGACAAAAATATCTTTATATGAAAGTAAATTTTTATGGGAGATTAAATTATAAATTCAATAGTTTTGAGTGTATCTTTACTGTTTTATAAGAACACACACAATATTATATATAATTGAAAATTTTTTATATTGACTAATTTAATTCTCTGTTTATAGATTGATTTTTTTAATTTAATAGTGTAAAAAGAGAAAATAATGATAATTTTATGCTCTTTTATGATGGTGATTTTTTTAATATAGGGAAACAGTGCAAAAATACCAAAAAATCTTAAAGCCAGTAGTTTTCAATCCTGAGAGCACATTGGGAGCTTTCTCCAAAAGTATTGTCATGTGACTTTCATCCATGTATATGCATATGTGAATGTATATGTGTATGTGTGTGTGTGTATATATATATACATACATATACATATATATATGTAAAGTGCTATTACACTTGTTTTGCGGAATGTTAACATTGAGGGGAACTGAGCCAAATGTATATAGAATCTATTATGTCATACAACTGCACATGAATCTATAACTATCTCAATAAAAATTTAAATTAAAAATGCTATTTACATTAGCATCAAGTATATTAAATACATAGGCATAAATAAATACATAGACAAAAAGTGTTCAAGATATGTATACAGAAAATTACAATGAATTGTTAAATGAAATGCAGGCAGGCCAAAATAAATGGAGAGATAAGTTTTGTTTATAGACTGGAAGTCTGAATATTATTAAAATTTCAATTCTCCTTAAAATTAATTAGGAGAATTAACATGTCCTAATGGGCTTTTTTTCCCCCAATAAATTGACAAGGACCTATAATCAAGAACTGAAAAAGAAGATCAAATTGAAAGACTATCACTGTCTGACAGCAAGACTTATTATAATGCCTCAGTATTTAAGACAGTGTTTTATTGGTGACAACATGGACAAATAATTCACTGGAACAGAAGAGAGAGTACAGTAATAGACTGTCACATATATGAATATTTTAATTTTTAATAAAAGTGCAAGAATAACACAGTGGAGAAAAGATAGTCTTTTCAACAAATGGTGCTGGAAAAGTCAGATACTCAAATGCCCCCCAAAGTGAACTTTGATTGAACTCATTTGAAAAAGTGACCTTTGTAGATGAACTTCATCATATATAAAAATATTTGCAAAATAGGATTATAAACCTAAAAATCTAAAACTTCTTAAAGAAAGCATAGGAAAAAGTCTTTGTGATCTTGTGTTAGGCAAAGACTTCTTAACTATGACACAAAAACATCTATATATATAAAACCCTAATATGCAAATAGACCGAACAGCAGAACAACCGAACAACTGGCCACTATGATGTGTGTTGACCAACAGGAGGTGCGCGCGGAACATGGTGGGTGTTGGCAGCAGGTGGCAGGGTGCGGAACGTAGTGGGCGTTGGCCACGGTGGGATGGTGGGGCAGGTGAATGAGGGCCCCAGACCAAGGCGGGGCTCCTGCGCGCCACAGTCCTGCGCCAGTGCCGCTGCTCACACCCGCTGCTGGCACCGGAGCTGCCGCTCGCACCTGCTGCTGGTGTCTGGTGCCAGGCTCAATCGCTGTCAGTGGGTGTGAGTGGCAGCTGCAGGCCCCAATCGCCCCTCAGGGCTTCTCCATCTCCCCCTGCTCCTGAGGGGTGATCGGTGCCAGCAGCCACTTCTTGCACCCACTGCTGTCACCGGCCCCACTCGCACCCGCTGCTGGAGCTGGCCCCAATAGCTCCGCGCCGTCAGTGGGTGCAAGCGGGGCCGGTGCCATCAGCATGAGGGAGCGATGGCAGTGGGAGCAGGGCTTCCAGCAGAGGACTGGGGGCCATGGCAGGAGGGGGGGGAGGATGTACCGAAACCCACCCCTGTGCCCACCGCAGCCTCGCGGCCCACAGTTTCTTTCAAGGTTCACGAATTCGTGCACTGGGCCCCTAGTACTACATAAAATTAAAAATTTGATAATTGGACTTCAATACAATTGAAAACTTTTTTTCATCAAAAGACACAGGAAAATAAAAAGACTAGCAACAGATTGAAAGAAAATATTTGCACAGTATATATTTGATGAATGCCTTTTATTCAGAAGATATCTGATAAGGGACTTTTATTTCAGATTATATAAAGAACTCTCAAAACTCAATTTAAAAAAAGCAGTGTTATTTCTAAAAATAGAAAATATTTGAACAGCCTTTTTCCAAAATAATGTCAATCAATGTGAGAAGATGCTCAACATCATTAGCCATTAGAGAAATGTAAATTAAAATTACCACAAGATTCTTTTACAGACATATCATAATAACTAGAAATTACAAGACCAAAAGCTGTGGAAGAATTAGGACTGTCATACACTGCTGATGGGAATATAAAGTGGTACAACTATTTTGAAAGACTGGCTGTTCCCTAAAACATTTTACACTTGCCATATGACCCAGTTTCTTTCAAGGTTCACGAATTCGTGCACTGGGCCCCTAGTACTACATAAAATTAAAAATTTGATAATTGGACTTCAATACAATTGAAAACTTTTTTTCATCAAAAGACACAGGAAAATAAAAAGACTAGCAACAGATTGAAAGAAAATATTTGCACAGTATATATTTGATGAATGCCTTTTATTCAGAAGATATCTGATAAGGGACTTTTATTTCAGATTATATAAAGAACTCTCAAAACTCAATTTAAAAAAAGCAGTGTTATTTCTAAAAATAGAAAATATTTGAACAGCCTTTTTCCAAAATAATGTCAATCAATGTGAGAAGATGCTCAACATCATTAGCCATTAGAGAAATGTAAATTAAAATTACCACAAGATTCTTTTACAGACATATCATAATAACTAGAAATTACAAGACCAAAAGCTGTGGAAGAATTAGGACTGTCATACACTGCTGATGGGAATATAAAGTGGTACAACTATTTTGAAAGACTGGCTGTTCCCTAAAACATTTTACACTTGCCATATGACCCAATGAACCCACTTTCAGGTTTTTATCCAAGAGAAAAGAAAAGAAAGCATATGCCCATATAATGACTTAATATATGAAGGTTTATAGAAGCTTTCTTTGTAATAGCTAAAAACTGGAAGCACCCAAATGTTCATTAACAGATGAATGGATAAACAAATTGTGGTGTGTTTATATACAATGGAATATTACTCAGCAATAAAAAGCATTGACCTTTTGATGCACAGGCAACAACAGGCGTGAATCTCAAAATAATTATACTTTGTGAATAAAATTTTAGCAGTAGAAAGCATATGAGCTGTTGGCTTGGGATTTGGTGAAAGAGAAGGATTACAAAGGTGTAGGAGGAAACTTGGGGATGATGAATATGTTCACTATCTTGATTTAATGGTGATTATGTCTATAAACTTATCAAAGTATAAACTTTAATAAGTACAGTTTATTGTATGTTAATTAGTTTTCAATAAAGCTACTAAAGATGTTATAACATATACACTAAAGATTTTTAGTGGTTATGAATATGATTTCTTTAGCTTTGTAATTCATTCTTCAAGAATTACATGCATTGGATTGTGACAACATGCAGTGATTGTACTGGTTGGTACATTCATCCTAATATATAAAAAGCCAGGGGCTGTCACAACCAAAACAACCAGACGGACGACCGAACAGGCTGCGTGGGTGACCAGGCGGGCAGGGGTGGCAGTTGGGGGTGACCAGGCTGGCAGAGGGGAGCAGTTGGGGGTGACCAGGCCGGTAGGGGGGACAGTAGGGGCAACCAGGCTGGCAGGGGGGAGTAGGGTTGACCAGGCCGGCGCGGGGGGCGGGGGCAGTTAGGGGCGATCAGGCCGGCAGAGGCGGTTAGGGATGATCAGGCTGGCAGGCAGGTGAGCCATTAGGAGCCAGCGGTCCCGGATTGTGAGAGGGATGTCGGACTGCCAGTTTAGGCCCAGTCCCCGGGATCGGGCCTAAACCGGCAGTCAGACATCCCCCGAGGGATCCTGGATTGAAGAGGGTGCAGGTTGGGCTGAGGGGACCCCCCCCCTCCATGCACGAATTTCATGCACCAGGCCTTACTGTTCATAATAGAGAAGAGAACTGTACTCATTAAAAGTATTAAGTAATAAGGTGTGTGTGTTTTTTAAGAATAAAACCCTATTTTTAAAATATAGTATTTTACACTATGGAAATTGAAATTTCCTAAAGAAAATTGGTCTTTCTCTTGAATATATTCATTAATATTTTCTTCATATTAGGTTAAAAATAATTTAGAGACTTTTAAAATACCCTTAGTTCAAAGTATAACGTGCTTTAACTTTATTTCCTAAGTCCAACTCTCATGTATTTAAAAACTTGGTATTTTCAGTGAATGTTTAATGGTTATGTTTTCCTTTTGAATAGTATGCACTGGAACGACTGAAGGTCCTGTGTGAAGAAGCTTTGTGTAGTAACCTCTCAGTGGAAAATGTTGCTGATACCCTTGTCCTTGCAGATTTGCACAGTGCAGAACAGTTGAAAGCACAAGCCATAGACTTTATTAATAGGTAAGCTATGCTTATATTTCAGCAGCATGACACCTTCAGCGTTTGTCACCGAACTTTTTTAAGTGTGTTTAAATCTTCAATGCAGGTGCAGTGTACTTCGACAGCTTGGGTGTAAAGATGGGAAAAACTGGAACAGCAAGTAAGATGACATCAGTTTCTGACTCAAAGTTGATCTGCCTACATAGAATTAAGTGTTTGCATAGGCCTTTTGTTCATCTACAATAAGTAGGAATCGAGATATTATTTATATGGAGTAAACTGCTGGTTATTTAAAAAAAATAAATTTGACTAACTTAGTGGATTCTTGAGGCTATGCCCCCTTGTAGATCAGCTGCTAATGTGAACTGAGATGAATGCCCTAATTTCTGAAGCTCATATGCTCACTTAGTATGTGGCTGAGTCCATATTTCAATGGCAACTGGAGATCCTTTTCCTGTCCCTTCAGAAAGCATTTCTGAGAATATGGAAAATGTTCATTTTATTCTCTGAGGAATGTACCCTTCATATTTGCCCTAAACGTCTTCACATTTGAATGCTAACCCATTGCTTCTTAGGTTAGCCAAGTACTTTGCATTGAATGCTTTATTAAGCCAGCTGCCTAGTATTCTAAAAATGGGAGTAATTTTATCTTTACTTTTCCTGGTAAAACTGTAAGAGGTAGCATAGTTCTTATATCTTTTCTAAGTCCAGACTTTCTGAATATTAGAACTTATTATTCCTTTGTTTTCTTCTCTCATTTTTAGGGAGAATTTTCTATTCTTTATAATTATTCAAAATAAAAAAGGATAAAGAGTTGATAGGTTGAAAGTTGCATCTTTTGATTCGTTTTTGCTTGTAAACCCTTAAATTCCATTTTTGCAAGTTTTCAAAAGTTGATATAAGTATGTCAAAAAAGACAAGTGGATAAAAGAAAGTCAGAGAAGTCAATTGTTAGAGACAATAAAATTAACGTTTTTTTACTTAATTATTTCCTATTGTTTTAACTTGTTTTGCTATGTGTGAAGTTAACTGAATTCCTGTCAGTTTGTGAGTTCTCTTTTTAGTTTATTGGTTTTTCTGAATATTGATCAGTGTGATAATATGTTATGGTATGTGATCTAGACAAAAATCAGTTTAAATTTAAAACATAATGTGTATGCAGCAAATGACAATTTATGATCCTTTGTACTTAGCCACTTACAAGCTCTAGTTTTATTCTGTTAAGAAAATATTTTACATTTTTAACTTTTTCAATGTCAAAAAATATCAAGAGTATTTTAATATTCCCTGAAGAAGCTGTTGTATGTACAGACCTTCAGTAGATATTTGTTAAATAAGTGAAAATGTCAGGTATATTAAGAGATATCTGTGTGATTCTGAACAACTATAGTTGAAATTATAAACACATTGGTTACTCTGATGTCAGGCAAATATTATTATTAGCTACTGTTTAGTTTAACAAACGTGTACCTCATATCTGTTGTGACTCAAGCACCATGTTAATGTGCTGCCTTTAAAAACAGTTATGAGGAAAAGTCCCTATTCTTGAGAAATTTGTTTAATAAAAGAAACAAATATATGAATATGTCATTTATATATAGATAGAAATGTATCTAATGAAAGAAACAAATATATGAATATATCATTCATATGTAGATGGAAATTTAATGAAAGAAACAAATACATGAATATGTTATTTTTTATAATATGGTAAGCAGTGTGATAAAAGAAGGTATGTGCGGGAGGTTTAGGGATGGCTTACTGGAGATGACAGATGTGTCTTAAAATATGAAGAGGAATTAGAGGAACTAAAAAAGAAATAACAGGCATTGCAGACAGAAAGGATAACTTAAAGTACAGAAACCTAAAGGCAGTAATTGATCATTCATTTTACAGGTATTTATATTTATTCAGTAAATATGGCCCAAGGCACTGTGCTCAATATCAAGAATATAATAATGAACATGATAAATGTTTCCCCTGGCTTCCCAGAGTCTGTGGTTTAGCAGGAGATAAATAGTAATTAAACAAGTATTTGAAGTAAAGTGTGATGATAGGTAAAGTATAGCGTACCCATCTGAGCATATAGCAAAGGAACCTAACCTAATCTAGGGGTCAGAGAAAGCCTTTTCAAGGAATTGTATGAATAAAGACCTAAAGCATTAGTAGGAGTTACCTTGATAAAGAAGAGGGAAGAGGTAGAAAAGTGTATCTCAGAAAAAGGGAATCAGGTATGCAAAGATTGGGTGAAAAGAAACAACGGTATAGACTGAGGTTATGAGAAGAAGCTGAGCTAGAGAAAGCAGATAGGGATAAGATCCTGGGAAGCCATATAAATTAACTTTAAGGGCTTTTTAAGACATTACTCAAAGATTAATCCAGTAAAAGATTGCAGCCTGGGCCAGGCCCCTATCAGGTTTGTGTTTTTATTAATCATCAGAGCTTTGATTTTTAATTGAAAAGAAAATGGTCTAGGACAGTGATGGCGAACCTATGACATGTGTGTCAGGTGACACGCGAACTCATTTTTTTGGTTGATTTTTCTTTGTTAAATGGCATTTAAATATATAAAATAAATATCAAAAATATAAATCTTTGTTTTACTATGGTTGCAAATATCAAAATTCTATATGTGACACGGCACCAGAGTTAAGTTAGGGTTTTTCAAAATGCTGACACGCTGAGCTCAAAAGGTTTGCCATCACTGGTCTAGGATGATACCCAGGTTTCTGACTTGAATCACTGGATGATGGTGGAAGCATTAGCTGACTGGAAATAAGGGAGGAAGAATTTGAGGTTTGGGGAGATATGTTGAGTTCTTCTTATCTAACAATGCTGAATTTATGGAACTTGAAACGCATCCAAGTAAAGAGAACAAGTGGTTGGGAATGAACCTTGTTAGGAGGCTTAGGATTTAGCAAATCAGTAGTTGTCATCATTGAATATGATAGCTAAAATTATGAAGAATGGATGAGATAGGATGAATAATGAATGTTAAAAGAGTAGAGGGCAAAAGTTGCCACTTGAGAAAAAACCTGAGTGTAAGCCAGGGAAAAGAGCTCTTGAAAGTTAAACTATGGGGACAAGTGTCACATGCTTCAGGAGAATAGAATTTCCAGAAAATTCTAATAGTTTCATTTGTTACAGAAATACTACTAAGGTATTTTGTGAATGATATTTTAATGAATTCAAGTGGTTTGAATACATATAGAGGCAGAGTGTTCAAAACATTATGAAATCCATAAATTTAAAAAATTGACAATACAACAATGCATTTTGAAAAGTATTCTTTAACAAACATCTCTTAATTTTATTTTTCAGTCAAGCAACGGACATAATGGAAACATCAGGGTGGAAGTCCATGATTCAGTCTCACCCTCATTTAGTAGCAGAAGCCTTCCGAGCACTAGCATCTGCACAGTGTCCACAGTTTGGCATTCCACGCAAACGGCTAAAACAGTCCTGAAATCTTCCATGAACTGTAGAAAAATGGAATTGACTTTTATTCCTCCAGGTCCAGAAGGATTCTAATAGACAAACCATAAGCAAGAGTTGTTTCTGTTGTCTTGTCTACAGAGCAGAAGCTGAAAAAGCGTATGGCTTGCATTTCAGGTGGATAATTTATGGTTTATTCTTCAGCTTTAAATTAGACTGACTATACTCTAATTCACTTCAAGGCCTTAAATTATCTCCAGTGACTTCTCTTGTTCATATGATACTTTAATTTTTTTATTGTGCCTTGTCATTTTGACCAAGGCTATGCAGGATTGCACTAGCTCCATAATGCAGTAATATTGACAACTGAAGATATTAAGTTTCAAAAGGATCTTCCATTAGCTTCAGAAAAGCAAAATTAATTTTCTAGGGTTTGTGCTATGCTATCTCAAAGTTTAAGACTAGGTTCTTAAAAGCACTTGTATTGGAGATAACTGTTAATGTCTCCAGTCTAAGTTCTATAAATACAGGAGAACCTGCTTGCCTTCAAGGTAAGTTATGGCAATACACTGCTTCAGTTCTAATTTATTTTTCATTTCAGGGGCAATTATGCAATGAGTTGGCCCAGATTTTTAGTAGAATTTGTGATGTTTATATGTTAACTGTCCAGAAAACTAAGAAGCATAACAAACCTTTGCTTGTGTTTCTTTGTGGGTTTATCCAAGTTTACAATTACTGAGAACTGATTGAGGATAAGATTTCAATAAGAAAGCATGTTTTGTGCTGAAATAATTTTTTTTAATTTATAGTGGCCTACATTTATATGAAGAATTCTGTACATGTTAAAAGTAAGGATGACCAAATGTAAATTTAATGAGTGGGCCAATTAAGAGAGATATATATGCACTTTTAATGTGTAACTTTTGTATGCTGAATGGTACATATATTTTTTTGCTTTTGAGGGAATTAATAAGGTATAGTTAATTGTGTCTTAACTTTTGAAATAATTTTTTAAGACAGATGGAGGTAACTGGCTGTTTGTGATAATAGATAAGAAAGATATCCTTCATTATAGTTAAATTTGTTTCCATTTCAGTTAATCATTATTAAATTCACTCTTTTTTTTTTATCACACATTGGAGAAGGCATCTGAACAATAAGTGAATCCTGGACGGTCTACTCTCCTAAAAACAACAAACTGATATTATTTGCAGACTAAAGTCTCTCCTTTCCTGAGAACCCTCAGAAACTTGTCAGGCCACATTCTGAACCTTCCCCATCCCCTTAGTTTTTTCCTTTCTGTTTCAGTTACTGTACTAACATTGTGGATGATACTGAAATTCTGCATAATGTGAACAGGATAAACTTTATAAACTGCTTTTCATGGGCCAGTTCTTTATTATAAATGAATTTCAGCTTTAAACACATACACATGCTCAGTGTTGGATAGCTCTGTTCACAGTGGAGGTCTGTTCTGCATCTGGTTTCCTGAAATAGGGACAGCATGCTTCTTAGGCAAGATTGATGTTGGACCACAAGGGGAAAAGTGTGTCACTGGAAAAAAATGCACATACCTATATATTTGCATACATAACTATTCTCCAGATTAAAATTTGTATAATTTGTTTATTTAGTTTTTAATTTAGTACAAAAGGAAAATAATTAAGCCTGAGGTCTTAAAATAGGTTTTTTTGTATTTCTTTGTTAGATACTCCCTGAGCAATTCTAATACATCAAGAGTGATTCATATTTACATTGAACAACACTGTCAAATACACATTTGTTACCCATAACAAACGAGTTTGAAAGACCTTATTTTTTCAGGTATCTTCATTTTGCTCTTTGTAATTTCATTGAGTCTTTGTTATGTTAACTTAAGTTTTAAATTGGAAGAATACTTTGGGATAAAGGACAGATTCTTAAATATTAGTGGACTCCATCAGTGCTATAGTGAGCAGAAATTCACTTTCTTAACTTCGCCATAAGATTGAATTAATTAAATTTGTAATGTACAATTAAAAAAATACATGCTCACATACATATATACTAAGATTTTAATTTAAATTTTGCCTGGGTCTTACAAGAAAACAAAAACTCCTTCCTCGGGCTATAGAATTTTGTTGTCATATATATATATAAAAAAAAAAAAAAAAACGCTGGTGAAAAAAAAATAAATTCTATTTTTCATAAATACTAAAATACATGCTCACATACATATATACTAAGATTTTAATTTAAATTTTGCCTGGGTCTTACAAGAAAACAAAAACTCCTTCCTCGGGCTATAGAATTTTGTTGTCATATATATATATAAAAAAAAAAAAAAAACGCTGGTGAACCCATGTATATCAAATGCACAGAGGCACATTGTGAATTAATTCACTGCTTGAATCTACATTTCTAACTATAGTGACTTCACTAATAACACCATATAATGAACATTTCAGATTTCCCTCACTTGTTTTCATGTTTATTGCAAATCTTAAGGGTTTTATTATAAGTATTATTTTAGTTTGGTAGTACATTTTGTACCAAAAACGTCAAACACTGTGCTGTAAGAAGATCCATGTTTGTAGAAATGTCCACTTTTCAGATAATATAATGCCTACCTTTATACTAACAGAACCATATGGTAACTGATTTATTTTTTTTATTTATTATGTATATTTTTGGTATTGTGTGGGTTCTTGAGGCTGTGATAGAAAACTGTTAATGTGTTCTGAAATAAGTGCTCTAATAGCCTTTTTTTGTTTTTATAATTCATTGTTTTGAGTAGGCACAGATTCTGTCTAGAGCAGTCTTGCCTTTTGATTATCAGCCTGCTCCTGTTTCTCTTTTGTCACCTAAACAGAACTTTCTTAAAAAGTAGTGACTGGTTTTAAACATTACATAAATACAAAAGTAACCATTGGAAAACTGTTCTTTAGATTCAGATAGGGAAACACTATATTTGTGCCTTTTTTGTTTTTGAATTTTAATGTGTATTGGTATTTGGAGCACAAATATGAAGGTGCCATAATATTATGGCTGCCATTGTTACCTCCTTGAATATTCGTGTGTCATTGTCTTAAAATAGTAATTGGAGAACCTTGCATGTATTATGTGGTTATTTAGGCATCTGTGTGCACGTTTGCGTGCATGTGTGTGTGTGAGTGTACATGTACTTGTTTTCACTTGGACTTGTGTGTGATATATTCAAAAGAGTTAATTTCTAAAAATAGGACTCAGTTAAACATTGAAAGTTCAGGCTAGTTGAAATATACCATTTAAATGTGCTTTACTTGGGACAATTGATTGATAGAGGAAATTATAATTCTCAAAAATGTGACTAATTTACTGCATGACAAACAGTGCCTTTTTAGGACATCATTAATTCTAAAATTAAGTTTAAAATATTAACGATCTCTTAAAATGTTGTCATGAACATTATTGGCTTTTAAAAAACTATACCTAAGTTAGAGCTTAAATTGCCAAAAGTATAATTACTAATTTACTTACCCATTTAAGTTTTGTGCATAAGTTTTAAAACCTAAGCAGAATTCTTTATAAAATTGTGAATCATAGATGCTACCCAGTGTTACTAAAATACAACACTGGGGACTTCAGTAAGTTGTTTTGTTAAACTCACAAGCTTTTTTCATAGCCAAGTATACTTCAAGTATTGAATTATTCCAAGTTGGACTTCCATGCTCTTTGGTGAATAAAATAAAAATATTCAATATATTCTTGCAAAATAAGGTGGGCGGGTGGGTTTAGTGTTTTCAGATTATAAAGACAGCACTTTCACACACAAATAAGAGTATTTTGCAAACCTCTTTTATACAGATTATGAGCTCTACTTTATTTAAGTGTTCATGGAATGATGTAAATTTTAGGTCCATTTGAATAAATATAGAGTGCCTACCATATGCAAGACTTCCTTTTCACTAGGAATTAAATCATCACACCGTGTTTTCTGCTTGCAGTATATGGACTTAATGTTTGAAAAGGAATTCTTATATTTAAATTTTTTTCTGTTGTTAGAGTTTATCATTGTATACTGTAACCCAGTTAATTGTGCATTCAGGTTTTTAGAATGAAGATAAAACTTAAGTGAGTCCCACTTTTGAAGATAAAATTCTGCTAAAATTATTTAAATATTAGTTCTGGGGGAAATTGATTTTCAAGTTTCAAATGTATAAAGACTTATATCAAACTTTTCAGCCTCATTTTTAATCAGCTCATGTTGATGAGATACATACTTTTGGTATCTTGTTGCTGAAAATATTTTTGGCATTTCAGCACTTTGTGTTAAAATAAAGTTGTTACTACTTATTCAGAATTAATTGGTCTATTTTGTGTTTATTTGAAAATATAAACTCATATTTTATCATGAAAACCATTGTTTCATGTATTTTATCTGTTTTTGGTTTCGTTTGGTTTTGGTTATTACAAGTGGGGGGATAAATCTAGTGCCTGTAACTCCATCTGGACAGTATAGCTTTCCTTAATCAGAGGTAACAGGAAGGACTGTGAAATGGCACATTATCAATGTCATTCCTTAGTTATGATGAGGATGGGGAATTTGGCTCAGATCATATATGTAAATGAATATGTATATATTCGTTTCTCAGATCTTAAAAAACAACAACACATGAGGCAAACACTGATACCTCAAATGGATTTCTTCTAAAAAAATAAGAAAATTTTACTGGAGAATACTCATTTATAGTGTGGAATGCTAGCCCAAGCTTTGTCCTGGCAGAGTTTACAAATTCAAATGTTAACACAGGAACTGATAGAAGGGAAGTCGCAGACCAGATATAATATGTGATGAACTAGGGCAGTGATAGCGAACCTTTTGAGCTCGGCGTGTCAGCATTTTGAAAAACCCTAACTTAACTCTGGTGCCGTGTCACATAGAAATTTTTTGATATTTGCAACCATAGTAAAACAAAGATTTATATTTTTGATATTTATTTTATATATTTAAATGCCATTTAACAAAGAAAAATCAACCAAAAAAACCGAGTTCGCGTGTCACCTCTGACACACGTGTCATAGGTTCGCCATCACTGAACTAGGGAAATGGCAGTCAATGTAGTGGTGGGCCTGGTCTAGTCATGCAGATTCAATAGTATGACAGCAAATAAGAGGGCCCTAATTTTCTGGCCCAACTTAATGGCACTGTCTGTATCCTAAACTCCTACCTACCTCAACCAAAGCAGAGCATTGTATAATATTAATAATTAAAGTGGAATTATTAATGTTCATAAGTCCTTCAAAGAGGGCCCATAGTCCCCAAAGGAAGATTAAGCAGAATGCAAAATCATAGATGAGGAAGTGAGTCCAATTCTCCTGAAGCAGTAAGTATCTTTTCTACAACCGTAGAGACGTGTATTCACAAAGTTAGCGATAGACACATGTAAAGGATAATACATCTCTATCATCTTTGCAGCAAAAGTAGCCCATCACTACAACCTGCTTCTGTTTTGCAATATGCTTTGGTCAATATTTTCTTGTTCTTTTTTAAAAAATTGAGTTTATTGGGTGACAGTGGTTAATATAATTATGGGTTTCCGGTGTATATATATAAAAGGCTAATATGCTAAGTGTCCCTCTGACTGTCCAACCGGTCACTATGACGTGCACTGACCATCAGGGGGCAGACGCTCAACACAGGAGCTGCTGTGACTTGCACTGGCCATTTACAAACAAACGGCACCACAGACCTGGCACCGACAAAGCAACACTCAGCTTCCCTCCAGTGAGACACAGGCCCTGCCATCACCCCAGAGCAACACCCCACCAAGTCGCAGCCAACGCTGCCAACACCCCATAGCACAAAATGCAGCCCAGCCCCGCAACATTCACTGTGGGCGCCGGGTAATGTCACGTATCAATGCCCGGCTTCCTCTCCTAGTGAGTAGCCCCGTTGGAGTTTTTTCAGCCCAGGAACGTGACTTGCTTTATAGCCAGGTGCAAACATTTTACATTAACCGAATGTCTGTGAAGCGTTTACCTGTGCCTCATCTCATTTGATCCTCACAGAAGTCCTGGAGTAAGTAGATAGGAGTCGCTGCAGAATCTTTTTTTTTTTTCATTAGCCAGAAAATGGAGATTTAGAAAGTTTAGAAACTTGACCCAACTGAAAAGAAGTAAGAAATGGTGGACCTTGAAAATGACTTCAGGTTTTCTCACTGCTCAGAATATAGTCAAACACTGCTGCAGTTAAATATTTTACCCTTTGTTCTCCCTGTGTGATCTACAATAATAATCTGCTTAGTGTTGATATTTATTGCTGTGTTGCTGACAATTACCTGAAAGAGAAGTGGTGCTTCATTGGGCTGGAAAAAGTTTGTCAGAGAGCAGGTCTAATTAAGCAAGTCTATTCTATAGATAT